CTTGCCTCACTTTCTCCTGCAGGTCTCTCCCTATATCCAGATAGTGTACTACAGCTCCAAAGTAGTCTGATCTCCTACTCAGAGCATCCGCAACTACGTTGTACTTGCCCTTCACTGGCTTGAGCTCAAAGTCGAATTGGTCTATCTCTGCGGCCCACCTAGTCAACTTAGGTGTCATCTTGGCCTGAGTCTTTAACCATCTAAGCGTTTCGTGGTCCGAATACACTTTGAAGTGCCTCCCCAGCAGGTAGTGCTTCCAATGGTCTAAAGCCTGCCTGAGAGAGTAGAGTTCTCTCTCGTACGTGGAGGCAGCAACCTTTTCACAGGGCATCCTCGCTGACATGAACTCTACGGGTCTATAGCCATTGTCGTCGTCTTGTTGCAACACGGCGCCTATCCCATACTGACTCGCATCCGTGGTGACGACAAATGGCAAAGACGGATCTGCAACTTTGAGGACAGGGTACTCTATTAACGCGCGCTTTAGCTTCTTGAGGGCAGACGTACAGTCTTTGTCCCATTGCCAGATTGCCTCTTTCTTCAGCAATCGGCGCAAGGGAGCGGCAATAGTGGAGAAGTTCCTCACGAACTTCCTATAGTAGTTARCTAAGCCTAGGAACGACCGCAACTCTGTCAATGTGCGGGGCGTCGGCCAATCTCTAATCGCCGCGATCTTGCTGTCCTCTGGCTTGATGCCATCTCCGTCTAGTACATGGCCCAAGTACAAAACTTGCGTCTTGGCCCACTCGCACTTCTTCGCGTTGATCTTGAAGTTAGCCTCTCTAAGCTTCTCCAAGACTTGCCTCAGATGACCCTGATGCTCCTGGAGGGTCTTACTAAAAACTAGGATATCGTCTAGATAGACTACTACAAACTTATCTAACCATGGTCTAAACAGGTCATTCATATAACGCTGAAAAGTGGTTGGCGCATTGGTTAGTCCAAAGGGCATCACTATAAACTCATATTGCCCATATCTAGTCCGGATTGCAGTCTTATACTAATCATCAGGATGGACTTCTATCTGATGGTATCCGGACTTCAAGTCTATCTTGGAGAAGTACTTACAACCCTGCACCCGATCTAAAAGATCGTCTATCCTGGGCAGCGGCTCAGCATTCTTCACGGTGATCGCATTCAAACCCCTATAGTCTATGCACATACGAAGCTCTCCTTCCTTCTTGGGGACAAACAAGACTGGTGCTCCAAAAGGAGACGAACTGGGCCTGATCCAACCCTTCTCAAGGAGTTCGTCTAACTGCTTGCGAAGCTCCTCTAACTCTCTAGGGGACATCCTGTAGACTGCACCCTTAGGAGTTCTACTGCTAGGCTCTATCTCTATCCTTTGGTGGATGGGTCGCGACACTACTCCTGTCGGCCACTCAGTCAAGTTCTTAAATTCTTCCAGCAGCTTGGCAATTGTTGGATCTGTGGAGCTATCCTTTTCCTGGGCCTTAGTGACAGGTCTAACATAAACTACAAAGACCTGATCTTCTAACTGCTCCTTTTTGACTAATCGCGCGAACGCGGGAGCACTGAGACAACAATGTGCCAAGGTGTTGTCTAC